TTTTTATTTTTTGTACCGTTATGGTGAGACACGTTTCACTTCTAGTCGTGATCCCAATGATGGTCATTATTATTTATTATTTCAGTTCTGTATGTCATTTATGTATCGTCTATTATGTGGACCATTATGAATAAATGTAGGCCTACTTTTGAACTTTGAACATTGAATACTTTCTTCTAGATAATAATATCTATGAATTGACGAGTCATATACGCAATAACAGATAAACACCTGATGATAGATAAAAAAAAAAAACAATTACGGCCTACGATATGTTCCTGCGTCAGGAGTGTTCAATATATAAAACAACATATTTACAATCCGCGAAGCTGACCACTGGCTTAATATTGTTGACTATTATTAATAATGGATTGGGTGTCATTAACTGTTTTCTTATTTGGTGAGACTCATTTCGTTATTTACGAATAGGCCAGTTCTGTATAGGCTTAAGCAACACGTTTCATAACTCATCTATCTCTCACCGGACTCGGAAAATGTAGACTATGCCTACGGCATTAAGCCGCCCATGGCATCTGTTTTGAATGTGTATTTTGAGGTTCAACCTTATGTCGTGAATCTAAATATATACCGCATATTGTTTTGTCATTGGAGAACAGCATTCTTTAATGTACTTTGTGTGCATCATCCTTTTGTTTTAGGTATTTGTCAGATAATTAAATTTAATTGTATAATTTATTGGGGAAAATCCATCATTTAATTTTGTTTCTTCTTTCATTCTTTTATTTCTCTAAGTTAAAGCCTCATTAGGCAGAGCACTATAGTATTCATATGACACAGCATCGCATACAAAGTCAAAATTAAGGACAGATAGTAATGATGATGGTGATGATGATGATGATAATAATAATGATAATAATAATAATAATAACAATAATAATAATAATAATAATAATAATAATAATAATAATAATAATAATATTAATAATAATAATAATAATAATAATATAAGTTTTTTAAAAATAGGCCTAATAATAATAATAATTGGCACAATGGAAAACCGAAGTCCTCATGAAAAACGCCTGGGATTCAGAACCTACCGGTCTGAAAACTGTAACAACCTAGATCATCGAAGTCCCGACCGGATGAAGTGAATATTTCCATATTTCAGACTAATTGAGGGAAAACAATACCGTACCTTTTACCGTCTTTTTTCACCAGACCACCAGACCCGTAAACTGTCTTGGGAGGAGCATATTTTGTCCTGTCTCAGTCAGTTGTTTTGCTGTATCAGACTATTCAAAAAACCTAATGACATCCCATTATACATAAACGTAACTCCATCATCACCCACCTAATATAATTAGAAACCCACCATCAGCTATAAACAGACGACTGTCTAGTATATATGACAGCCAATAGACATTTAACAGCTCACAACACAAATAGTCACAACATAAAATTAGGTAAATCATGGGATAGTGAAAAAAGGGGCCTCTTAGGCTTAGGCCTAGGCTAGCCTTGTCAGGGTGGATTTCTGGTAGGAGAAAACACATTCTGGTGCCGCTAGCTAGGGCATCTGGCCCATGATATCGTGGATCAAGCCTTGCTATATAAATCTCTGTTTAAAATTGTTATGTACATTTATTTGTACATCATCGTTGCATTTGGCAAATTGCCTGAGCAGGCCTGACACCCCTCTTCTCCCGGTTCCCGACTCTATTGACACCTAAGGCTAGGCTAGGCCTGGCCTAGCGTAGGCCTAGATCCTAGCCAACAGCGAAACGTCACTCAGTGTTTTCTGGAAACGTTCTGAAAAAGTTTTTTTTCACATTTCCTTTTTCAAATATAAAACAAGGGAACATTGTTCCCTGGTAATAAAACCATGGTCGACTAAAACTCCCCTCCGTAGGCCTACATACTGTACGTGTGCTGCGTCGTCGTAGTCGCCTTAAAAAACGAAAACAGCTCTGGTCTAGTACGCGAACAGTGTCTTGCCGTTGCCGTCACGGTTCCATTAGTTCGTAGTAGACTGGCCGCGTAGTCAAAACATAAAATGCCTATAAATAATTGTTCTGACAGCTTCCGCGACAACCCCAATTTCTGAATTTGGCGTAGTGGCGACTACCCTAATATTGACCAATCAGATCACCGGATTGTTTGGCAAACTGCTGGTAACTTTTTTGTTGGGGGTTGCAATTTTTATCGCATCCGCGATCGAGCATTGTTCGTTCAATAATGAATTAATTATTAAAACAAGTGAGTAATTAAATGTTTTATAAAGGCCTATTTATATACATACAATAAATGAGGAATTTCGGAATAGTCACAACATATAATTAGGTAAATCAGTGGATAGTGAAAAAAGGACCTCTTAGCCTTAGGCCAAAGATACTAGAAATACAAGATAGAGTTCTCGCATTGTAAAAATGAGGTGGAAGTCGTGCCCAACGTAGTCGGCGCCCTTCTTTTTAACCATGCAAGCTTCCTATACTTCGTGCCCAACGTACAGGGCGCCCTTCTGTTTCTAATTATATCCAGACGCAAAAGGCGCCCTTCCTTTTCCACTAATGGAGGAAAACTTTTTCACTAAGAGTGCGTACGGCCATGCGATTCTGCGCTGTATTGTTGTTTATTCTTTACTGATTCATGATTATGCTTTTATTGTTTTGTGTATTATTTGGATAATAGCTACGATTTCTACCGCCACCAAGGAGGTTATGTATTCACCGATGTCACTGTCTGGGTGTCTATTCCAGTTTGTTTTTATATCTAGTATCTTTGTTGAGAATTGATAATAAGATACGCGACGACTTGGTAACGAAAGTTTGGCACAAGTTTTTTTTAGATCCAGCTGTAGGGGGCGCCCCATTTTTCATATTCCCACCATGCATTTCGGTGGAACACGGTGGAACACTTTTTTTGTGTGGAGAACTCTATCTAGTATTTCTAGTATCTTTGCTTAGGCCTAGGCTAGCCTAGCCTAGCCTTGTCAATGTCAGGGAGGGTGGATTTCGGGTAGGAGAAAACACATTATCTGATGCCGCTAGCTAGGGCATCATCGCCCATGTGTCGTGTATCAAGCCTTGCTATATAAATACCTCTGTTTTAAATTGTTATGTACATTTATTTTGTACATCATCGTTGTATTTGGCAAATTGCCTGAGCAGGCTGGACACCCCACTTCTCCCGGTTCCCGACTCTCTTGACACCCAGGCTAGGCTAGGCCTGGCCTAGCGTAGGCCTAGATACTAGCCAACAGCGAAACATCACTCAGTGTTTTCTGGAAACTTTTTATTTTGTATTTGACCAGTGTTTTTATTCACATTTTTTTTTTTAAATATAAAACAAGGAACATTGTTCTCTGGTAATAAAACCATGGTCGACTAACTCCTCTCCGTAGGCCTACGTACGTGTGGTGCGTCGTCGTAGTCGCCTTAGAAAAACGAAAACAGCTCATGGTGTAGTACGCGAACAGTGTCTTGGCGTTGCCGTCACGGTCCATTAGTTCGTAGTAGACTGGCCGCGTAGTCAAAACGAAAAATGCCTAATGCCTAGTACGAGAGAACAACACCTAAATATCGATTAATTTTGTCGCTAATAATGATGGAAACCGTTTTACTTACTATTGTTTTAAAGGCAGGACCAGGTCGACACGGAACTCAACTCAACTCAACTGGTCGACATGAGCGCTCCGCGCAACTGAAAGGAACTGAACCTAACTGAAAGGAACTGACAGTTGCGCAAAATTTGTGGACATGAGTCAAGTTGAGTTGAGTTGAGTTCCTTTCAGTTGCCCGTGTTCTACTTTTTGTAGAACTAAAAGGAACCGAAAACACGTTGATCCTGATATTAATCGTAATCAACAAGCATTAACTACAAAAAAAATTATACTATGTTGTGTTTTGTTGGAGGATGATCTGTCCTAGGCCTAGGCTAGATATTAAATTAATGGCTAAATGCCTATGGTACAAATGCAGTTTGGACCACTGGGAAGACAGAATGAATGAAGCAACTAAAATGTTAAGGTAATATTAAAATTTGCCAGCTGCTTGTATAAGTTCGGTTGTTCCCATCAGATGTAGAACATTCAATTCAATTTAAACTAACATTTATTTTCCTTCATTTAAATGTGTTACAAAAAAAAGAAGAGAAATCTTGAGTTGGGCAAGCCTAAAAAAAAAAAAAAGAAAAAAAAAAAACGGAAACTCATTGGACAATTATAACAGAATTAATAAATACTTTAAAAACTAACAAAAAACATTCACCATAAAAAAAAATCAAAAGAATAAAATTAAATTTAAAAAATGTAAATCGAAACTTTAATTTAAAAAAAGACGGAAATAAATAAATAAAACAGAAAAAAGTAAATAAATAAATAAATAACTTTATTTATCTTATTTATATCCTTTAGAGGGTGGTGCGTTCAACTTAAATACAATCCAATGAATCACTTAATTACTGTACTGTCAATTAATACAAATAAAACATAATTGACACAAAATTAAAAATAAATTAAATGAAACTGAGAAATTGGGTAGTAAACTTAAAATTTAAAAAATAAAAACAATAAAACAATACAATAATATAAAAATTATTTTGTGTACACATACACAAATATATCCCTCCCTACTCAATCAACTAACCCATTTTTTTTTTCAAATTTGACCAACACAGCCCAAAATAAAACAAACCATTTCATACAAAAATAAAAATTCAAAAATGCATAAATGCAGTGAAACAAGGTATACAATTCATAATTGAAGCTGTAGTGCTCCCATCTACTCCACCATACCACAGGGCCGGCGGAACGTTTTTCAAAGTGGGAGGGCCCACTTATAAGATAAATGG